TTGGAAGGCCAAGAAAATGAAGGGACTCGATGTACATACACAAGACTGGAAACGCGGTTTTGACAGGAATGGCAAGGTACAGGTACGCGCACGGGAAGGAGCAGGTACAGCAGAGCTAAGGCACGACCGCCAGCCGAAGACAGCTCACAAAATGCTGCCTTAGTCTCGCTACATAGGTAACTTAGTACCTACACAGTACATAGCCGTACCTTACCTTTAGGAGTACTACCTAGGTATTTAGGCAACTTGGCAGACTTTCTTGGTTCTGTTACCTAAACGTTCGACACATTTGTTGAACAGACACCGTCAGGTCCCTCAATACAGTGACAACCACGACAGTATAGTTCATCTGCACCGGCGCGAATTCGTGGAGACTCGAGAAGAGAAAGGAAGGGATACCTCCGCCTCAGGCTTTCGGGTTCGAGTAAACGTGGAGACTTTGGTTCGGTGGTCCGTCACCAGTGGCACGATGAGATTGGCCGGCTTCAACTGGGCACTCCACGAAAGACAGCTGGCATTTTCTGCCTCTGACTTTCAACTTTGGGGCCCTTCTTTTCCACTGATCCAGCCAACTTGCGAGCACATGAACGAATGTCATTGGGAAAACGGGGCAGACAAGAGTGACAAGCTTGGAAGAGATGGGGCCTCCCCTGCCCGCTTTCCAATGAGATGGACCGGGGGAGTGCGAGTCGCCAGGGACAGGCTGTCCAATCCACACGATTCCACTCACCACGCACGGGGCGAAGAGGAACGACGACGGCACGATGGGCCACTCAGCGGCCCAGCTTTGTTTTAATGAGAGTCCACGGGACCGAGCTATGACCAGCCCAATCTCGCCTTGTTTGGCTGATACTCCAATACATCCAACACCCCCATGATTGTACACTAGAAGGAATGTACTCTATTATCATCGACCAATTACCCCCGGAAATCGCCTCCCCTACTACTGCATCGCATCTGGAGCTATGGGTGATTTCCCGCCGGATGAGAGGCCCCGCCGCTTGGATTCCTAGACGACATCGTATTTGCCAATGGCTCGAATGTCCGGCCCGTCACGCTCGTGCTCAGATTGCCAGATTGCTTACATTATGTCTGTCTACATTGAAAGGACAATTCTGTTCGGCTGCAAGCAGCTTCCTGGATCCAAAGGAACACTGTGTTTACATAGCTACCATTACTAAATTCAGCGTCAAAGTTGGCGTTGGCATACTTATTACTTCGTCAAACAACGCCATGCCGCCAATATCCAATATCGCAGACTCGAACTTCTAGAATAAACGTGGAAGGTATAACAAGCCATATTATGATTCCTTGTCCTATCTAGTAGTAGCGTCCACTAACTCAACAGCTTAACATCAAAGTACCACCAAAGCAAACCTGCATGACGGGAGGCCCAACTTGTCAAATTACTGCTGTCATCCGTCCGTCCATCATCCATTATCCCCCCTGAACGCACGTTTCTCTCCCACGACACTACTGCAGTTTCGGTCCAAACTCGAAAATATGCAGGTACAGATCTCCAGACATTCATCGGAGCTGAATGTCGTCGATTCTAAGTACCTTGTTATCGAAGAAAGTTAATTCGTCTCGTCTCATCCTCGGTTTCTATCCCTTCCTACTAGATTATCCGTGAGAAGCTCTCCTGCATGTCATCAGGTGGCAGGTAAAGGTCTGCATAGTCTAATGAGCCTAGTTTTGCCTCAACCTCTTGCACTCTCCCCCTTCCCCGCCCCAGCCAGGCACAAGAAAATCGCCTTTTCGATTGTGAGGTTGCGATTCATTGACCCAAGACAATACTCCATATTGTCTTGCTCCCTTGGAAGCTGGCCACAAAACGCGAAAACCGAAAAAAAGCTCGGGGCAAAAACAAAGGCAGGTTGGTAAATTCCCCGGAACAGCGTTGAACCTGGGGGACGTGTTTAATTAGACAAACGGATCTTAGTGCCCATGTGGTTTATTTCGAGAAAGAGAGCCCCTGTCGGCCGTCGGGTCGGAATCTCACTTGTTCCTACAGCTGCTACCTTTTTAGGAGAAGAATTCGATCGAAACGACTTTTTCCTCGTTCTTTTGGATATTCTCCATATTTGGAGAACTACGTATAGGTTGGGGGGAGGGGGGTTTGGGTTTACTAGGAGTTGGGACGCCAAGAAAGAAGTGAATCCTACCTACAGCCTGGGTTGATGTCACCAGGAAGAGGCACCACTTCCTAGTCATTATCAAAAGGCAGGTATGGCTTGGAAACGGCTGCATCCAAACTATTTTTCTTTTGATTGTTTGCTATCAAAAGTGAAGGCATTCCGAGACATCATAATCACGATCACATCTCGCAACAAACGATTCTGGATTGTCGCTTCTCAATATCATCCTAGGATGTTTAGCACAATTGAAATTTCGTCATGATTTATTATTCATGGAATATGAAGAAGAAGAATAACCTCCACAACCTCATCAACAGCCGAGCGTCATGCCCGCCGGACATCATCCTCGATCTTTGCTTCGAGGAACCTATAACACCAAACTAATCTTTAACATGTACAGCTCAAAATCCCCATCAACACCTCTGCCAACCCCTTTGGCTTGCTGTCCTCACTCCCTAATTCGCTCGTTCCCTTTACCCATCTCTCAGTATACACATGCCGACGTAACTCCATTCACATAGCCTCTTAAGACAGCAATACCATCGTCACTGCCACCGCCGACAACCAACATGTCGCTCGACCAACTCAGATGAGACTCTCAAGGATCACAAAAGATGTCAAAATCTCCCACCGTACCCGAAAACACGGGGTCGCTAAAGCTCTGTTTTGTGATTGTGTCGATTGTATTTTTGCATTGCTCTGCCGCCTGGTGTTAGTATCGTGGTCCTCACGTGTGAAGGGACCTTCAACTCCAAGAGAGTAACATAAACTCACCAGCTTGCTCGTCACACTTGGTCACCTCAAACTTTTGCGGCCCGTTGTTGGCTGCTTGTGAGCACTTGTTCTTCTGGTTGTCGCAAGATCGGCCCGCGGCGGTGTTGAAGTCGGGCTATAACCGAGCACGCATTAGCACGCTTGCTTCCCATAGGAAACGCACTCCCTTTTTCCCCTCTGTCTCCGGTAGAGAACGTCGGGGATCACGCGGAAGAAACTCACAAAAGTATCACCGTCGACCTCGAACGGTCTACTAGGGTCATTTGACTTGGTAATCTGTAGCCAAGCCACAATAGTCAGCATACAACGTTCCGTCCTACGATTCCCTCATCCTACTCCTGAAACAGCGCCACCCATTGAACGCCATCCGAACCTCTCCCCGGAGCTAAGTGTTTGCGCCCCCCTTGAGGATCTCGATTCTCGCTCGAGTGTTGAGGAGAAGAGCATCCCGAGAGATAGAGATGTAATCACATACCGCTGACGCTTGTACACCGCCCAAATTCCCCTCGAAAGTCTGCAGGTTCTGCGTCGTCTGCCGCGGCAGTAGGCCATACTTCCATCCCATGCGCATCTCGTCGCCGAGGTCCATCGCCAGCACACCCGCCGCCACCACGGCGGCCCCCGATAGGGCGTTGAAGAGAGTTGACGTTCTCATTGCTTTCTCTCTGATCTTTGTCGTGGACCGACAGTAGTTTGGCGTTTCTCGCTCGCTTTTATGATGTCCTATCGGATGTGATTATCGGGTTTGCTCTCCTTCGGGTTGATTAATTGATCGCGTTGGTTGCTTTCGTCGAGTATCGTTGCTCTGTAATTGTAATCGTAACCCAATTGATATCTCTCCCTCTCGTGTCGTAGATAAAGTCTCCTAGCTCCGTCCTTTCACCAGCTCGTCGGATTGAAATATTAGAAATATGTCGTTGTAATGGTAACTCCGAGGCTCAACCTCGTCGAATCGTAGTATATAGCGTCGTCAACGAAGCGCAGTAGGAGTTGTAGTGTGGATTGGCGACGCGCAGCGCTCGAACGTAGAAAATCGTAACACCGAAAAGACGTTGGAGGAGTAGAAAAGTAAAAAGGAACAACCCAACGTCCGTCCCTTAAACCTTAGCAGCACTTTTTTCCGATTAACAGGCGCCCGCGGCTGCGCCGCGACACATGCACGGCACGGGAGGGGGAAGGTAGGTATTGGAACTGGGGCCTTGCAGCAAGCAGCAAAGGGAACCTGAAACGCGGAAAGAGATCCAACCACGGCTGCCCACAAAAAGCTGGGATGCAACACCACCGCAACACCACCACAAAGCACACCCGAAACACCACTGAGACGGGGAAATCATATTACGGATGGCCTAGCTTTGCTGTGTCCACGTGATATTGCCCAGACGGGACGGCAACCGAAAAAGGACGATCATGCTGGCTTGGAGACATGGAGTTCATCAGATGGCAGTTGGCCCCCTCAGATGACGGCCGATCATATCGGGAAAGATAGAATGGAATAGAGTTCAGAGGGAGGAGGGGCTGCAATCAGTCGGTTGAACTTAGTTCTCTCCCTCAACCCCCGGCTACATCAGCCAACAGGCTTCACTTGCGTCATTCTTGAATGTGGTATGTGCTTCATCTTTGCCTTTCAATGTTTGCTTGAATTGTATGAAAGTTGGTGGTCCTGATATTAAAGTTGTATCTTAACGTACGTACAAGCCGACGGGCCTAGAAGGCCGCCCATCAGACTTGCTTGTTGCGGTCTCTGCCATGTGTCTTTGCTGGTATCGATGCCCTGTCCTGATGCGCGACTCGTTTGAAGCCCCACACTAGTCCAGAGAAGTGATCACCTAGGCCCAGCCGACAAAGAAGAGTAATTTTCAGCCTTCTGTGTACATATTTCTATCCATTAGTCCGGAGACCTTGCGATATGCAACCGTGCCTGCCATGATGATCTGGCGGCCCTAAACTCCGCGTGACTGGTGGAAAGGCCAGCGTAACAAATGAGTAAAAAGAGAAATCAAGGAGTGTGGTATCCGTGTGGAAAGGACTGGGGAATCAACGCTTTCTGTCGCAAGAAACAATCATTGGAAGTCGCAACAACAAACATCTTCAAAAGTTGGACGATGCATTGACTTGTTGGTTCGGCGCGTGGTAGCTTTCGAGAGTCGACTGGAAGGGAGTACGGCCGGAGCCAGATCCCTGGGCACTCCCGATCTCGTTCTTGGGCTCGTTGCCGTACTGGTTGTTGTACTCCATGAGGCCATCGTTCTCCTCAGCCTGCTTCTTCTTGCCCCAAATTCTCCAGGCAACAAAGCCCAGGGCACCGAGAACAATGGCACCGCCGACACCAACAACGACACCAATGACGGTCTTGCGAGTCTCGGACGACATGCCAGAGGATGAGTCTCCAGAGTTTGCCTCATTAAGACCGGGCGTGCTCGTGACGGTGGCCTCAGAGGTGAAGGAAGTTGCGACACCAGCGGAGTTGGTGGTGGTGATGACGGTCTTGATGGTAGAGGTAACGGGCTCGGCAGTGGTGGAGTGGGTGGAAGAAGCGGCACTTGCGCTGGTGGTCCCGTCGTTGTTGCTGCCAGCAGATGTGGTGCTGGTCTTCAGGGTTGTAGGAGCAGCCGTGGCTCCTGGTGTTGTGCTTGATGCAGGCGCATTGGCGGATGTGGTCGGGTCGGCAGCGGGAGATGTGGTAGTGACAACAGCGACGGTGGTGCTGGTGACCGGAGCAGCAGTCGTTGTTGTAGTTACGGCAGCAGCAGATGTGGTGGTTTGAGCAGCGGCAGTCGATGTGGTCTCGGCACCGCTGGCTGTTCCTGATTGTCTCTTAAGGAGGCCATCGCGAGGCTCGGCTTTGTTGAAGTTGAACCATGACGCCTGAGCGACCGAGGCGAGGGCGAGGACCTGAATGGCGCGTTGGGGATGCATCGTGACTGTGGTGGATGACGAGATTCCCGGTAGGTGGTGCTTCAAGAATGGATAGATCAAGTCAGCCGTAGGAATAGTTCTCCCGGTCGGTCAGATAAATTGAAGAATCATTCGTTTGTGTGCCGACAACCAAATAATTTGGTGGTGGTGTCAAAGACACAAGGTTCTGAGATGAGTCGAGTCGGTTCGTCTGGAATTCTCGGAAAGTTCTTACGTGCCGGGTGGGTACGAAAATAGGAGGACGGCACGGGTCAGGGTGGGAGGGCGGAAGCGACCGGTAGGTTGAAAAAAGGTAAAAAGGCGATTTTGTGTTGAGTGTGACGCGGAAATCACTCGGAGTAAAACGAGAGGAAGGAATCAAAGGTGATGATAGGGAAAAGCGAGTGAATGGTTTTTATGAAGTGAGGGATGAGTTGGGATAGGTTTTGAGGGGGGTGGTCGTTGGAGTGGAACGAGCGGGAGGTCAGAAAAACAAGACTCGTATTCGAGCTGGAGCGGCGTAAGAGGGTGGTCAGTGTGAAAAGGCAGGTGCGGTTGCCAAGTGGGCAGTCACTGGTGGGTTACTGTGTACGCAGTAGAGCGCTGGGGACAGGTCCACGGGTCCAGGCAGGTACCAGGGATACAGGGCCGGGCCACTTCTTCTTTCCTCCGTCGCACTGTCCGTGACCCGTGTGGTGGCTGTTCTTGGCTTCTTCCTGGGCTAACAAGCGTCAGAAAAGGGAACCTCAAGTCTCCAAGCAGAAAACTGCCCAGCAACGTTGCGCAGGGGGGGACAGAACTTAGAGGTGGGAGGGCGAGCCGGTAGCGACCGGGGTGAGTGGCTGTGGATGCTTGCCAGATTCAGGTGCAAGGGACAACGTGGTGGCGGTCTGACGGCCTAAGACATCAGGTTACCCATCTCAGATTTGTCCGCTTCTCGCGCGATGAGAACTTTTGATTGGCCAGACGGCTTGAACCCTGGGCCCGACACGGGGCACTGTGGCACACGACGATCAATGCTAAAAGGTACGTACACAGTACGTCTCTCTCGTTTCCTTCGTCTCTCGGCGAATCAGAAATGGCTTCACCCTCAGACCCTTCGTTGCCCTCCTGAAGTCTCCCTCACCCTCACGGCCTCACCTCTCGAAATTTACACGGCTCAGCCTCCAGCTCACTGCTCACGACCCTTTGCTCAAACGCTCAGTCAAATCGTCTATTCGCCGCCTCCAACAGTCCACGGCATAACCGAGAATACCGCCGAGCCTCTTAGGTCAGTGGGAGTTGTTGGAACACCCCAAGGAAGCAGCCCAGCTGTCAGCAGTCTTTAGCGGCCGAATGGTTGGTGCCCATGAAAAACGGCTTGAACGGCCCCTTCTAGCCCGTCAGATGGCTCCAGACTTTGAGAGACTGGTCCAGCCCGCTGCGACCGCTGACTCTGCCGCATTCCTCGTAGCGGTTGGCGCCGAACTGAGGTGTTTGCCATCAGGAGCTTTTCTCTGCAAGCCGCAAGCCCCAAACGTTTGAATGCAGCAATCCGATTTTGCATGGCGCGCTTTTCCTTTCATCAGCAGACAATGAACATCCCAAAAATAACCATGGTCCGTCTGTCTATTGTTCAACAAAAACTTCTGTCGACAGCAAAGAACCGTTGAATACACCACTGACATAATGCAGGACACCATGAACTGCCGTTGCAGTCGCAGACAACCATGACGATGACGATGGGATAGGCATCAGGCTTTGTGCTGGTCTGTCTAATCCAGGATGGAAAGGAGCGACAATCATATGGCATGTGCCGTCGGGTCAAACCCTTCATAGATGCTTAAAACCAAGCATCAGCAAAAGCAAAGCATACAAACGCACACATGCATTGCCAGCCGGCACCAATGGAACGATGGCAAAAAAAAAAAATACCAGGGCAATATTGAAGCAATGAAGCCACTGGTTGTCCCCATCCACGGCAATGCAACATGCCTGCCCAGGGCCGATCTTGTCTCTATTTTCAGCATCGACCCGTCGCTCTTTGCTCTAACCGCCTCCGCTTCTGCCAGCCTGGCGTGCCAAACCCGGCCAATTCTCCTTCAGGGTCTTCCAAGCACGTCTCCACCGTCCCCCGGGCCCCTCCCAGCATTCGTCATTCTTCCCGGCCCCGTCCAAGAATCCGGATTCCACAACTTTTTCCAGAACTCGGCATTCGTCGTCGCACCACGCATGCCCTACCGTACGCAGTATGCTAATATGGACGCCGACAACAACCCTAGAGTATGTGAGGGGTCAATGGGGAAGGGGTCAAGAATTTCTCGGACGATGGGCATCGCCTCACTGGGCCATAAGATTTGCCTTCCGCGGCGGCCGACGTCACTTCCGCGCTCGAGGGTCTTCGCAATTCACCGAGGGCCCCTGCAACAACAATCAACAGGACTACTGTTACAGTACGGCCTGCAGGATGACGATGTTAAGAATACCGTTCAGACTGCGCCCGAAGCATCTCGAACTGTCAGCGACAGCTCTGTTCAAACCTTTTGTTGGCATGCAGCTGATGCCCCGTCATGCGTCATTTTCCCACCCAATGGCCAACCTCCAGATGAACCACTCAGCTAGCAGCTGTTTGAAGGAAACTGAGAACTCAACGAGTGCGTTTCGCCTAGCTTATACAGTTCAGGGTACCCTTTATTCGAAGCTCTGTTTCCTAGCGCCCTTGTCATGGGTTCCCCTTCTTCCCACATCCCGGCACAGTGTCTACACTCCGTCCATGGAGGAGACTGGAGACCCTTGCGTACGGATACAGAGCACAAGAGGCAACCGATGGTAGAACGATAATCCGTCCGCAGCAAGCATCATTTCGGATCCAGGTCTGCCCTTCCGCGGATCTCGGCGTCGGAGGACCCGCCTACTCACGGACACCCGCATAGTGCAACGGTGATGTGAAGCATTGCATTCCAGCTTACAGCCTCCCGGTGTCAACCCATGCATTGAACCCTTAATCGTACACTAGAAGTGTGCGTCGCCTCTCGATACAGTGATACGATTAACCAACCATACAGCGGTGAATATCTGGAGACGAGATTGCTTTATTTACCAAAGTCCCTTTGCGTGTCTCTCCTTGAACTTTTTGCATGTTTCGGCGGGGAGTTTATAATAGTCGAGCTGCCTATGACAGCTAGCTTAGGATCTCGCCCGCAGGTGAATACATCATCAGACGGTAATCGTTTAGGTGTTTCATTTTGCAGTCTACTTTAGCACTCTTTGTTGACTTTGCTATATTACTGACGAGTCTCGCAACCCGAAAACACTACCTGAGCCAGAACTCGCTTGTATTATCAAAAGACCTTGCAACGCCGCAAAAATGTGTAGCAGACAGGGCGATGGACCATTTACAATACACACGTCATTGCTGTTCAATCCAAGGAAAAAGACCTTTGACAAGAATATCTCGATTGTCATCGATCCAACGAACGGCGCCATTGCAGATGTGTATGACCGGCAGCGATCCAAACATGTCGAGTTGACAAGTCATGATATAGATCTGCGAGGGAAGGTTGTGATGCCAGGATTTGTCGACGCGCATACACACGTGTTTCTTCATCCATACGAGTGAGCCTCATCATCGTGGCACAAGGTCCTTGATTCATCTAACCTTGGCTAGTGAGGCTTCATCGACGGTCCAGATGCGCGACGAAAGTGTCGTCGAGAGAATCGTTCGTGCTACAAATCATCTCCGTGTTGCCCTTCTGTCCGGTTACACCACATACAGAGATTTGGGCACCGAAGGGCTGCGCTCATACGACGCAAACCTGAGAGACTGTGTTAACCGAGGTCTGGTACCCGGCCCGCGACTCTTCGTGGCCACCGAGTGTCTCGCCAGCACTGGGTCCTACGAGGTCCGTCACGAGAACTCGTGGGCGAAACTACCGCGCATTTCGGACCCGTGCGACGGTCCGGTAGGCGTGACACAGGCTGTCCGGCGTCGTGCGGCCGATGGGGCGGACATCATCAAGTTCTACGCGGACTATCGGCGCAAGGTGATGCGATTCCCAAATTCAAAGGAACCGATCTCGTTTCTTCCCTCGGAGCCCAACCCGACTGTGGTGATGTTTAATCAAGAGGAGATGGACGCCATCGTCAAGGAAGCCAAGCTAGGCGGGCTACCCGTGGCGTGCCACGCAGGGTCAGCCAAGGGCGCACTCATGGCTATCAAGGCCGGCGTCGACACCGTTGAGCACTGCCAAGAGGCCACCGATGAGGTCTTTCGAGAAATGGCGCGCCGTAGTACCATCTTCGTCCCGACGCTCGGGATCATGAAGACTTCGCCTGATTTCAGCAGCATCGCGAAGAAGACCAAAAGGGCACACGACCTCGGTGTGCGTCTTGCTGCCGGGGGCGATACCGGAACATTTCCTCACGGGGAAGGTGCTTTTGAAATGGAACTCATGATCCAGGCCGGGGTTCCCGTCGTGGATGTGCTGGAAGCATGTGTGATGGGAGGGTGGGAAAGCTGCGGTAAGGAGAAGAGCGGTTTCTACTTTGGTTCCATCGAGAAGGGCTACCGAGCCGATATCATTGCCTTGGACGCGGACCCGAGAGAAGACGAGGGAGCCTTGAGGAAGGTCAGCTTTGTCATGAAGGACGGCAAGGTCTGGAAGAAGGACGGGCGAGCAGTCGGCTTCTTCGATGAGCAGACGGTTGATTCGAACCCCAGCACCGATGAGGAGTCGGATTGGACTTTTGTTTGACATGGCGTCATATGAGCTTCATTGAATTCGATTAGTCAATCGCTTGCCCGCTCCAACTGGCCGTGATGAGCAGCAAGGTTACATTGCGCTGGCCGGATCATCACCAACAGGCGACGGATACGAGCTTGAATGCGACCAGACAGTCGTAATCAAATAAATTCCGGCCTTCGGCACTTGGTATATCGGGAAGCCCGGCTCTGCGGACAATAAACGGGCATCGCGTTAATTGATCTCGAGATAGGTCACCGGAGACGATCATCACTGGCTCATACGCCTATTTTCCGTCGCATTTTACAGTCGGATCTGCCTCCGCACACAATCGGCCGAGATTATTCCTGGTAAAGCAAGTCAAGGACGTCAAAGGAGGGGTTGTTGGAACCGCTTCCTCCACATGCTCCAACGATCGCTACCACGTCTCCGCACGGCTCGCGCGGGCTAAGCCGGCGAAGCTTAATCCCCAGCCAACCTCTTTTCAGGTTCCGTCGTACTTCGAGGCTGCAGAAATTGGCTTGCATATCGTGGACCAAGCTTTCCTCAGCAACCGGGCATCGGACGATCGTTTCGTATGCGAAGCTAATCACACCTGTTCTTCCGGATATGCCCATATCATGCTTCCAGTGCTGCTACTGCATGTTCCCGGCAATGGAGGAGAGGGGAAAGGGACGAACGATGGGCAATACTACGCACACCTCAACTATTCGCATCATCTGCGCATGATCGAACGGCGCTAGAGCACCTAGAAGGATATTGGTCTCCGGATGACTCTCAGGGTTCGCGCAGCTGCAAATGTCCGAGGCTGTGACTTTAACAATTATATCATGTACGGACGGTACCCGGGTGATCTCTAAGTCCCGTCCTTTCACCCTTCTCTCCCCCATTTGACAGCCGCCACCCGGGTAACCCGTCAAACATGAGGCCGTCTCTATTCTCCATCGCCTCGCTAGGCCTCGGGCTATGCTCCGCCGCATCCGTGGCGAGCAGCCTCGACGCAGGAGTTCGTTCGTCTCTCGCCCTCGCTCCCGTAGTAAGAGTCCTGGACGAAAAGAGAGACCAGCTCCAGGACATCGTGACATGGGACGAGCGCTCGCTCTTCGTCCGCGGCGAGCGGGTCATGATCTTCTCGGGCGAGATCCACCCTTTCCGCCTGCCCGTCCCGTCGCTGTACCTCGACGTCTTTCAAAAGGTGAAAGCCCTTGGCCTCAACACGGTCTCCTTCTACGTCGACTGGGCGCTGCTCGAGGGCAAGGCCGGTGACTTCACCGCCGAGGGCGTGTTTGATCTCCAGCCCTTTTTCGACGCCGCGACCAAGGCGGGCATCTACCTCATTGCGAGGCCCGGCCCGTATATCAACGCAGAGGCCTCTGGCGGTGGGTTTCCGGGTTGGTTGGCGAGGTTGAAGGCGAAGCTGAGGACTTCGGACCCCGAGTTCCTTTCTGCTACGGACAAGTAAGTCCTTTTGTAACTTGAAGGAGTTCGTTGGTAAAATCAGTAACTGATGATGGTAACCAGCTACATGGCAAATATTTGCGGCATCATCGCCAAGGCCCAAATCACCAACGGTGGCCCAGTCATACTCTTCCAGCCAGAGAACGAGTACACCAACTTCGAAGACGGCAGTAGTGCCGATGGGCCGTACTTCCAGTATGTCATCGACCAGGCTCGCAAAGCTGGGATTGTCGTTCCCCTTATCAGCAACGACGCCAAAGCAGCGGGCCACAATGCACCGGGAACGGGTATAGGCGCCGTTGATATTTATGTAAGTCACTCTGAAGTTGTCACAGAGACTTAAGACTAATACGTTCTAAAGGGCTTTGATGCGTACCCGCTTGGATTTAACTGTGTGCGTAGCATCCTGAAACCCTTCCTCAAAAGTCTAGCAAATGTAACTGACCGCCGAGGTGTAGGCAAACCCGAATACGTGGCCGGATAATGCTCTCCCAACCACCTACCACGCACTACACTTGCAAACAAGTCCAAGCACGCCTTTCACGATTCCAGAGGTAGGCATGCAAGGAGCAATAGAGAGACCTTAGCTTACTCGTTGCAGTTTCAAGGAGGTTCCTTTGACCCCTACGCTGGGCCTGGGTTCGAAAAGTGTGCGGCGTTGGTTAATCACGAGTTTGAGCGCGTATTTTACAAGAACAACTTTGGGGCTGGTGTCACTATATATAATATTTATATGGTAAGTTACTTCGAGGTAGGGGGAATGAGAGACCGAGACTGACGAATAACTAGATCTTCGGAGGCACCAATTGGGGTAACTTGGGGCATCCGGGAGGATACACGTCGTACGATTACGGCTCCGTGAGTATAAGGCAGATTGATTTGTTTCTGTTAGACTCACTGACGCTTTTCAAGGCAATCACGGAAGAGAGAACTGTCTCGAGGGAAAAGTACTCTGAGCTGAAGCTCGAGGCGCAGTTCTTAAAAGTTTCGCCCGCATACCTGACTGCAACGCCCGGAAACTTGACCGTCGGTGTATACAGCGCAACTCCAGACATCACGGTAACACCTCTGCTAGGTAACGGGAACGGCTCGTTCTTCGTGGTCCGGCACAGCAACTACAACAGTCTTGCAACGACCGATTACACGCTTCGTCTGCCCACGTCGCAAGGAACCATCACGATCCCGCAGTCCCGCGATCTGCTGCAACTTACCCGCCGTGACTCGAAGATCGTTGTCACGGATTACCCGGTTGGGAACACGACTCTGTTGTATTCGACAGCGGAGATCTTTACCTGGAAACAGTACAAGAACCAGACGGTTCTTGTCGTTTACAGTGGACCTGGCGAAACGCACGAGATAGCGATCAAATCGACTACGACGCCTGTCCTCGTTGAGGGCACCAGCGTTGATCACAATTATGTGAACAACACTCTGCTTTTGGCATGGGAAACATCAAGCACTCGACGGGTAGTGAAGGTTGACAACCTGGTCATATACATTTTGGGTAAGTACACCAGCTACTTTGCACCACCTTGCGACTAACACAGAGAAGACCGCAACTCGGCATACAACTACTGGGTGCCAAATAAGCCCAGCGGAAGCCAATCGGCGTACGGCACGTCCATTATGAATCCAGACTCTCTCATCGTCAATGGCGGGTACTTGGTAAGATCGATCTCGATACAGGATGGCACTCTTAGAGTCCAGGCGGATTTCAACCGTACCACTGAGATAGAGATCATTGGCGTCGAGCCGGAAGTCACCAAGCTGGAAGTCAACGGCAAGCAACTGGACCACACAACGAACAATCTAACCAACTGGATCGCGAATCCAGCCTTCGCGGGTGCCGCACCCACCGTACCGGACCTCAAATCACTCAACTGGACCTTCATCGACTCTCTCCCTGAGATTCGCGCAGGCTACGATGACTCCGCGTGGCCTCTCGCCGACCACAAAACCACAAACAACACAATCGCCAACCTCACAACCCCCGTCTCCCTCTTCGCCTCAGACTACGGCTTCCACGCCGGCACGCTCGTCTTCCGGGGCTACTTCACCTCAACTGGCACAGAAGACAAGCTTGACATCACAACCCAGGGCGGCTCCGCCTTTGCGAGCTCCGTCTGGCTCAACGACACCTTTATCGGCTCCTTCGCCAACGGACCTGACGCCGCGGGCGATAATGCCTCCAATTACACCCTGGCCAACCTCACCGCGGGCGCAACGTATGTCTTGACCGTCCTCGTCGACACCACTGGCCTGGAGGAGAACTTTGTCATCCCTGCGGACGTGATGAAAACCCCGCGCGGGATCATGGACTACAGCATCACGTCCCCATCCGGCGCCCAAACGAACGTCACGACGTGGAAAATTACGGGGAATCTCGGCGGCGAGGGCTACGCCGATAGGGCTCGCGGCCCGTTGAATGAGGGCGGGCTCTTTATTGAGCGCCAGGGCTATCACCTCCCGTCTCCACCCGAATCGGCGCTCAACACACAACGCTCGCCATTCAAAGGGACAGATGTGCCCGGTGTGGCATTCTACGCCGCGAAACTGGATCTGCAAATCCCCGCTACGGACCTCGACGTGCCCCTCTCCTTCGTCTTTGACGACATCGCAGCGTCAAACGGAACGGGTGCGTACCGCGCCATTCTGTACGTGAACGGGTTCCAGTACGGGCGGTACGTGAGCAACATCGGTCCGCAGACCAGGTTCCCCGTGCCCGAGGGCATACTCCGGTACCAGGGGACCAACTACATTGGTCTGGCCGTCTGGGCACTCGGCAACGTTGGAGCTCGCGTGCAGAACTTCCGACTCGATGTCGGCGAGGTGGTGGCGACTGGTCGCGAAGAGGTCAAGGTTGTTGAGGCGCCGGCTTGGAGTCAGCGGACGGGTGCATATTAGGACTATTTGGTGGACACTTTTTCTTTCTTGTACATTCGCAGTACATACAGCCCTGTGGTTTAAGCAATCAAGGTGTTTGCAGATCAAGCTTCTATTCCTATTATGATCGTGAGAGTGCGTAGGCGTTCTCGGCAGGAACTGTATTTCTGTCTATTCGATACAAGACGAAAGAAAATACACTCTCAGTCATCTGGCGTCTTAGAGGTCATCAACGAGAGGACTAGGTCCCTGCGGCATCCCAATCTTATCCTCAAACATCATCCTCAGAGCCTCCACCCTACCGCGATCCGACATGAATCGGAGATACTCGGCAGAGTTGGTTGTATCCATGTCAAGGATCCCGGGGTAGCCGCCAGGCGCCGTGATATCCTTCCGAGCACTCCACTGAGAAGAATTGCGCTGGAACCCATCATCGAGGAGGAAGTTGGCAAACAGCTTCGAAGCCTCGGGGTGCGGCGCGTCTTTGAAGATAGCGACAGACCTCGGCCAGCTGACAAAGAGCCCCTCCGTCGGAAACGAGGCGTTGAGGCTGCCCGAGGACCGAAGACCGATGCTGGCGGTGAACGTGACGGACTGTGTGCTGTTGGGCTGGCGCAGGACAGCCAGGGGCGATCCCGTGCCGCGGACCCAGCGGGGCTCGTTGGCGAGTAGGCCGTCGAACCACTCGGGACCATACTGGTGCATTCTGGAAGAAGAAGTGAGCACTCTGCCATTTCGAAGAAAAGGAGCGTCTGAGAGTATCTTACACGAGGTCAAAGATGTACGCAATGGCATCGTCGTCACTGGGGTGCGTCAGGACAATCTTGCCCCTATACTCAGGCTTCAAGAAATCCGGCCACTCCCGCGGCGGGTTCGCAAGCTTCTGTGTGTTCCAGACAGTCGACCACGCATTCATCGCAAAGCCGTAGTAAGCCGCGCGCACATGACGAAACGGCGCCAGCACCTTGAGATAGTTATTCGGAGCATAATGCAGGAGCGATCCCTGCTGCTCCCAACGGGGGTAGTCCTGCAGGGCCTGGAGGATGATGGTATCCACCTCGAGCGGCCTGCCCGAGGCGAGCTGTCTGTCGACGTTGACGCTGTGGTACTTGGAGCGGTTAACCGTGATGTTAAGCGTCATGCCCGGGAACCGGGTCTCGAAGGCGCGCTTGAGGCCGTCTTGTTGGGTGACTTCGTCGCCGCCGTGCCAGCATGTTACGATGCCGCCTTCGGCTAGGGCGGCTTGGTAGATTTCGTCGATGGTGCGGTTTTCGTTGACTTGTGGGGTGTTGAAGCCGAGAGAGATGTCAGCCGCGGAGACTTGCTGGGCCAGGAGAGCACACAGCAAAGGGAGTGAAAGACGCATCTTGAAATGGAGGGGTGATTGATGTGAGAGCAGTTGATGAGATGGTGCATTGTGACTTGATGTTCGTCCGATGTCAGTAAACTTATACTCACGAGACGATGATCGTTATCAATACACATGATGGACTAAAGGCTGAGTACTTGGCGAATGCGTAATGGTCGAGCTTAGCACACGAAGGCTATGGCTTGGCGAATGTAAATATAGTGAAGCTGTCGTTCGTCCTTGGATCTCATCAGGCCATTGACAAGGTTGACGTCGACTTTGTTCCTCTACGTTTCCATGATCGGCTAGAGGCTACTCGACTACTCGGATAAAGTTGCTGACACTAATAACGGTTTTAAGCTTATGGCCGGAAATCGACTGTAGCATAAACAACTACGCCTGTAGTAGATCATCCGATTAATTAAGCTTAATCACTAGAATACCTACATCTGGTCCCTCACAACTGTAACGGCGCGCGGGTCTTGACTCAGGTTGGGAACAGTTGCATAGAACCCGAAAACGGTAACAACTCGCCGTAAATCAGAGTTTGCAAGCCCCTTGAGCACTGCCTCCGTTGACATAGTCATCGGGCGTCTCTAATCACGGCTAGTATACCGTCGACCAATGAGAGGGTCTATTCATTCTCAAATAGGCTAATTCCCCAAGGACGATGCTCGCTACATTCTTACATTGTGAGGCGGCTTACTGAGCAAGTCGTTACAACAAGGTTTGGTAACGGCTATGATATCTACCGGACGTTGAACCTCTCGGTCGGCTCGGCCGAATGCATAGCACCTTTCTCACGGAAACCGATTCCAACATCGGACTTATAATATGTACGGTTACAGCGAAGCAAAACAGTCGTAATATCTTGACTGTGCTTGAGGTAGACGGAAGGCTTGGCGGCGAACACCCCAGCCACCTCATGGCAGCTCGGCTACATGGTAAGTGTCGAAACATGCTAGAACTCCCAACTTCTCGTCCGGTATCTCAAATCGTGGCTCAATTAGCCTGGCCAGACTGTAACTGTATCAATCTACCCCGCGCATATGTGCTAAGCGGAGAATACTCAACGTACGTCTCCGGTGTCTCCTATCATCGCTGTAAAGCTAAAAGAACGAAAATGCTGAACAGCAATAGTTTCTAGACATCTATTTGCGTCATACGATGAAGGTTCAGGAAGGTCAAGTAAGAAAGCTCGATGAGCAACCCCGCGCCGGGAGCTGCTGCGGCACATCTGACAGTTGGGATGGCATTGCTCAATGGCAGAACGTGTCGATCCCGGAAACAAGCGCCGTAGGGCGGCAACGCAAAATTGGGGACGTTGGATGCTCGAAAGTGATGAAAGAAGGCCGAGCCTGTATTGTTAGGTATAGTATCGGGATCGAGGAATGCATGGGGTTGAGGATCCAAAGTTAACATCTGGTCCGTCAACAGTCAGCAACGCGCGCGTCTTCCGTGACTTCTTCTGGGCAACTTCATCTTCTATCGCAACATAGCCGTTGCCTACGACTTTGTTGCTCAAGCCTATTCTTTGTTGGTCGCTGCGTGTTTATCAGATAATTGAGGATAGCTACAAACAGGACGAATGCTTCTAGAAGTGCAGTAATTAGAGACATGCCGCCTCGGCCATGGCATCAATGTATCTTTACGTCTATGAGGGCAATGTTTTCTTGTCTTCCATAACATCGACTGTTACTTTCTTACGTTCATTCATTGCACATCTATTGGGTAGCTAGTTGAGATCAAAAGATTCATAGCAGAAGAAAACGTACCGAGCTAGGCACCTGACGCATTCTCCATACGTATTCGGGTTCCGATTATTCCGCTGCAGTTGATGTGTGATGCAAGGGAAGGGTCCAATTTCTCCTGAGATTAGGCTCGAAGTCGGGGCAATTGATCTTGGCAACAAACTTTTTGAGAGGTAAGAGTTGCAGTTACGGACATGGCCAAACTTTCGGGGAATTCAACAAGTATAGTATAGCCGGCAACGGGGCAGCAGTGAATGCCATGACGTACGCTCCGCCAGCATATGGGAGGGTTTATGGTCCTTTGGGCCTTGGATCTGGAGCCGGTGATCACGGCCCCCGACCCCAGTTGCATGTGTTAGTCAATGTTGCTTCGTAAGATAGTGGCACCGACTTTTACATATCGTGAGCGCATCTCATGTGCAATTTTTTCCTGATACGGCGTAGCGACGCGATTCATTGTGGAAATGATTATCTTAACCGTGATTGCTACTATCTACGGTCTCAATACTGGATGCCGGTATCTTGAAGGGAAACTCTCGAGAGGAAGGCTGGAATTACCATCGAATGCTTTTCGATGATCGCATTAATTGTGAGCGTGTCCTTCTTTGATATAAAGAGTAATCATACAACCCAACTAGATAGTGTATGGAATGATACTACCAGCGGCGTCTTCTTACATGAGCTCTTCGACTATTCTCCTAAGCAGACTTATCTTGAGATGTATCTATCAGCCAAGGCTGTGGCCATTATCTTGGTCACGCTGCAATTCGGAGCAGTTCATGGCCAGCAACCTAAGCCTATGATTCTCGCAGATACCAACCGTGACGGTATCGTGGATGACAGCGACGCCACGGACAGAGCATTCTGGAACCCTTCTTGCGGCGCCATCTTCCTACCAAACGTCGGCGACTCTCTCAAACGCTGTCCTAATCAGGATCTTCAGGGCAACCCTCTCAGTAATCACGAGCTAGCATCTTGCCACAATGCTTCTGGCCACCTACTCCTTGAGCCAAGCCTGGTTGCTCCCCTGAAGGCGATCCCATTGGAAGTTTCAGACGACGCTATTGCCCACATATACGCCACGCCTGACGCCGCATCTGAAAGGGTTCGTCTCTTTTACCTGAATGATTCGTCCGCCAACCCGGACGAGACTGCCTCTTGGAGCTTTGTGGATCCTGAATTTACCTTCAATGCAAGCCATGTCCAAGCCGGTATCACTCTCGGGATTGACGGGCGTGAGTTTGTGAAGGATTTGACAAAATGGGACGGCAAAGTAAGGGTGCATTTTGATGTTCAGGCTCAAGGTGGCTCCAGTTCTGACCCATCACCATCTCCAACGTGTCAGCGCCTTTGTCAGTACTGCGGCAAAGAGTCTGATCCTGTACAGCTCGATTTTCTCAGCCGACTTGATGAAGCGCGGAAGGCGGCAGGGATAAAGGAGCCATTATATCTGTTCAATCAGAGTGACGATATTTGGGCCCAGGATTTTGTTGAACCAGCATATGCTAGCATGCCTGTACCTAACGGCCAACCGATCTCGCTCAGAATTATGTTGAGGTCGGCACAGTCAGTTCGTACTGCTGAAAGACAGGTCTTTGAGTAGCTTCGCGGGAAAGGCGTTGGTGGTTTCCAGCCTGAGGGGGGACGCGGCGGCTATGGCGCCCGAGAAATCAACGCATACGGCAACCTCGAAACGATCCCACCTTACACGTCCAAGAGTGGAGTCAAATATCCTGCCGGCCGGATTATTCATGGCAAGTAATATGACAAGATGCCAGCGGAAGCCACGATTGCCTGCTTGGAAGGCCAAGAGCTTCAGAACCCTCTTTCCTTGAGTCTGGATGGCTACTCATCAGTCACGTTGATGAGTTCGTCCAGTTTCTACCTTCCAACGAGACGGGCCTTGGCTTCACTATTGGTATCGCTGACACCACTTCCGCCCTCGACTTGCTCAGAAACACCTCAGCAGCGGCGCATGGTGGTGTGCGGGCGATTTCTTTCAATGGGTCTGTTGAAGGCTCCTTTTCTATCACGAAAGAGGAGCTGGCCATGACAGTCGATGAGCTTCTTGCAAACGAGACATTTCACGAGGTCAACGCTTATGCGCAGAGACATATTGATGCTGATCTGGGAATCCTGCTCGCTGAGATACCTATTCTTCGGGATCATGTGATTCGCATCCCCTCGCTTTTCAAGGCTCCCAAAGTGTCTTCGCTCTCCTCGTTAACTGAAACGGTAATGGAGGGCGAGTATTTGTTAGTGAGCTTCAGCCCGGCGGCTATCAACGGCGTCGTGTTGGGCAACTACTACGTGAGTCCCAAGACTTGGGGCCCCGTGGTTGAGGGACGAGACCTCTTGGAGTTTGCCATCCGGGAGGTATATGCAAAGGCTGGCATGGAGGTCGGGTTTGTGGACGATTTCATGTCGCATCACCACACCTTTGGCGAGGTGCATTGTGGAAGCAACACTTTCAGGGAGACGGACGTAGCGTGGTGGGAATAGGGATAACACTCTCGTAGCGTGTGGGAGTTAGAGAAGAGGACGGGGAGAACCTGGGAGTCATCGTTCTAACAGCAATCTAGTGGAGAGAGCTATAGCATGTCATGATGTGCTCTGCAGTAATCATATTCCTTTCGTTCCCATCTCGTTCCCTACCAATTCTGCGTGCAGCACTGATGGATAAGGGTGGCTACACGCGGGAATGTGAGGCACGGGAAGCCAGATTAGCCTTATTGCCGCTACTAAGCTACATTTGAGCTTCAATAGGTTTACACAGGCAAAACAAGGTCATGCTATATATAGTAGTGAGCGTTCTCTGCTATCTGCAAATTTCGCGAAAAGTTTCAGGCTGCTCTTCCACGTTACAAAGACAACCATTGTGTCTCAGTGAATTAGAGCATTAGTCTACCAGCGTAGCCAGAGGTAACGAACTGCTACCATCATACAGCTTCAGCGATAACAGCATCCCTGCTATTCGCGGAAGAGAGATCCTCTCATACTCCATGTTCCAGATGCTGCTTTCCCTAGCCAACAAGATAGACTCTAGCAAACTGGCAATCTCCCGACTATCCCACATACCTTCTTTCCTTCGCATGGCATACAGCAGCGAAATGGCCCTTTGCTGCAGGTCTAGCTCACCAGAGAACCCGGCAATGAGGCTCATTCGCGGGATCACATCCGCACCCAGGGTAAAAACTGGATACTGCATCGGCTCGGCCTCGGCATATATGAGCGATTCAGCATCTTCTAAAAGATCCTGGAAAAATTGTCGATCCAGAGGTTGTGAGCTCGGGGCCTCCAAGCATTTGATGATGACCGACCAGTCCTTTTGCATGACTGACATTAGCCGCGCCTCCCATAACTGCTGCCTGGTTGTTGATGAGCTTGACTTGAGATGCTCAGTATAAGTTGCAAGCCGACTACTAAAGACATCAAAGAGATGGCGAGCTGTAAGCCATTCCCCGAGCCGCAGGTCGTCATCTCTTAGTGGTGACATGCTCTCTGGCAAATCCAAGAATGAGGTCCAAGATATCGGATTCATCGGAATGCTACCTCGGACATTGTAACGTAAAGCCTTCCCAAAAGCTCGGTCTACAAGGTGGAGATCGTACCGAGCCTCGGTGGTCGAGGAGTACGGCTTGGAAGCATCTTTGTTGCTACTGCCCCGGAAGAAATAAGACAGGTCCGGAATGACTTCCCCTTCTTCCAGTAAGTAGGCAGCATCGCAGCCCAAGCAGGTGAACATGTCAGCAAGATCGCATAACTGATCATAATAGTCCTTGACAGTCTCAGCCAGGCATCTCTGGTGCACTGAAAGAGGTAATCCTGCCTGAGCATCCGTTGCCGCTTTGGACAGGGCAACCATAATGCTAGAGCCGGATCTAAGGTGTTGCAGAGCTTTGTCGTAACTTCCCTGCATGATTTCAAAGCAGATGAATATCAAACAAGAAACGAGCGATGTCCTGAGAGTGATAGACGAAAGCCTTTCCATATCCTGAGTCGTGAACTTCATGGCCTTAGAGAATTGTTGGGTTGCTAGCACATCGTATGTTTGCGCGCCCGCAGCCTGGTCTTCTTCTCTGTAGTCGCTTATGAAGCCTCGATGTGCACATCCCAACGCTATCAGGCCGTGTTTAACTGAGTCGGAATAGTATCCTAGTGGGATGATGTAACTGTGCCATAGCTTCTCTAGGAAAGAGATAGCCCCGAAGCCCGCAACTGTGCATTTGCGTACATGATGGAACATGGCCCTTTCTGTTGGTGTTCCTGAGATGTCCCAGTTGACTGGCGGCGGGATCGCGGATGGTTGCCGACGCAACCTAAGCTGGAGACATCTGCGTCTTCGACAAGCTGACTGTCCATCGACACAGCATCTCCATGATGTCAATCACTGCAGGATTGGAGAATGTAGCGGAATAAGCTTACTTGCTACATGATAGCTTAGTTCGATCATCGGATATAGTGAGGGTGAGATGAGAACATACTGTGGCTGATGCTTTGAGATGGCTTTAGGGTGGACCTCCCCTGTCTTTTCCGACACCTCCAACATCTTCCGTGGTAGGCGACTCAGGCTCGCGGTGCGATGCGGCCTGCTAGGTTGCAATTGGTAAGATTCCAGTCAAAAAGCTTTTAACTGAGATCTCGTAGCTTCAGTTGGGTGCAGATGAGCATAACTCTGAGAGCGCGCAGGCGATCACATATGCGAAGACTAGGCTGAAACTTGCAGGTTTCCAACTGAGCGAGGGCCATCACGATTTTGTCTTGGCCCAAGCTGAGAGTCCCACTTCTCGTTCTCATCCCACACTCCCGAAAAGTTTGACGATGCCTGATTCGCTGACTGCGTTTGGGAATGAAAGTGAGGTGAACGCGTTCTGAAAGTGTTTCACAACAAGTCATCATTGCCGCTGGTCAAACTCTTACCATCAGTGGGATTTACATGAGAGCGGACGGATCATCGAGTTTTCTGGTAAGTAAAGTTGTAAATAGTAACAGGGTAAGTGAAATATAAGTGACCTAGAGGACGGTCTTACTTACAACAGAGTTCGGCAAGTGACTGATCATCCATACGTACTTCCCTAATCATGTCATCATCATTCCCAAAGTTGGAATCTCTTCGCTTACTAATTCTAATGTTTCTTGTCTTGAGAATCAGACATTACAAGTAGAGCGGGTTCACAGGATGCGATAACGGCATCATAAAAGCCAAAGCAAGCCTTATTCCCTAGATGTCCTACTACTAGTTCCAGAATAGTCGTTATAAGACTCGAAATGACAATTGCCTCAAGAAGCTAAGCACTTACGGAAGGCCCGTTGCCTTAGTCCGCAAGTTTTGTAGCATGGACCCAAGCTTCAGGGAATGCTGTGCATGGGTAGTTTCTTTGTTTCTGCCAGAAAGAGCAATTCGTTACTCGTTCGCAAGTTCATGATATATCAATTGACTCGAAGATAATTAAGGTACTATATTGACTATCTAAAGGCACTAGGCTTGTAGGCCGGACTTGCCAAAAACCACATACACCGACACCACGTACGTCCACAAAAGACGGAGTTTGGGAGACAGAGGAATCCCGAAGTAGTCGTATGAAAACTCCGTAGAAACATATTTTCAAAGATCGGCAAGAGCAGAAAGTTATTGTGAAGGGCTATAGTGCTAATTTCATTTATATTAACCCATACCGAGTGAAGCACGACTGGCTAAGTGCACTGACCCAAACTCTCTTCTCGTCAACGCAGATCTTCCAGCGCGTTCACAGCACGGAGTAGGCGGACTACGGAGCTGTCCGTTACCGATTTGCCTGACTCGAAGGCATATTATGTGCCCGTGGGATAGTTCGTTGAATTCGTTACTCATTAACGGGGATAAAGTCTGCTGGACCGATATAAACATGAGGTTCAAGTCCCTGAGAAAGTGAATTGACCGCAGTCCTTCTCGTCACACTTTGCCACCAACTACCCACGATCCTTTCGGTATAGAACTCTCTCAATATGCGTGCCACACTTGTTTTCGCGGCTGCGTCCTTCGCGACTGGAGCTATCGCAGCTAGGTCCATGGGCTACTGCCAAAACTTAGCAGGTGACGGCGGGGACATCGGAAAGACGAGGTTCTGCTGCGACTCGCAGTTCGACTTCCGCTTTTCTGAGGTAAGTTTTACAATGACCGGAACAAACCAAACCTGAGAATGCAAATGCTAACGTGGGGGGGATGAATAGTCTGGCATATGTAACATCCCTGCGGACTCCTGCGGTGGCATCAGCACGTGCTGTGGTACTGGTTTCTACGTCTTCAACACTTGTCCCGACACGTTTCCTTGTGCGAACAGCGCGGTGGACAAGGTTTGTCCCAAGAACTAGTCGCGATTTAAAGTAATGGAATAGAAGGACTGAAGATGAAATCTACTTGATGTTGGTCATGTTACGTTGCCATGACTCGCAACTCATTCGTGATGTTGTGAAGACCGACGAGTTCAGCCCATGACGGCTCACCGAGGTGCATGCGGTGCAGTTTCTGAAAGAACACCTCAACAGCACGCTGAAAGAGCATGATCCAATCCAGTGACTAGCCACCTAAGTCAAATCAATAATCTCTGGCTCAGCTTTTCGTTTCGCCCCAGCAACAGGTGGCGGAGGCCGACTTGGCCCAAGAGTCGCAGCTGCACCCATACCGTCCAGGCCTGAGGGCGGGGATCGCGACGGCCATCCCGCATTGCCCGTTGTCGGCGCGAAAGCTCTTTGTCCTGCTGACATTCCTATAGGGACTTGTGCCGGCCCGTTTATCGGTTGGAGACCATTTATTAAGCCATTCATCGATCGAGCACCGCTCATAGGCCGCGGAGCGGACGAGGATCCGGTTGCTGGCCTGTTGTAATGTGACGGCGGCGGGCGGCGGGCAGACCTGGTCATCGGCTGATGTCTGTTCGTGGGTGGTGGAACCCACGCAGGCCCGACTGCTGGCATAACAGTGTGCTCGGGCGGTGCATAACCTGCCGCAGCAGGTCCTGGAGCAGGAACAGGAGCGGGAAAATAAGCCGCAGCCGGAGCCGGAGCCGGAGCGGGAATTGGTGCCGGCGGGTACGTGATACCACCCCGCCCTGGCACCAGATTCACCGGCCGCTGCCACAATGCTGTCGCAATAGCAGGATAATCCTCACCCAGCAATACTCCTAACTTGGTCTGGTCAAAAGCCTTGAAGACTTCCTCTGCCTCCTTGGCCCTCACCTGCTGCTTCGCAACATCCGTCTGCCCCACCTTGTTAATGACCATCGTGGGCCCTTCAGGCGCAAATCGCTCAGTCTCATGTGTGACCCGGATGCCGTGCTCCTCGATCACCCTGTGCACGTGATGTCGCTGCTTCTTGGCGCCAATGATCAGGCGGAGTGACGTCTGCGCCGGGTCCGCGAGGAAATTGTCCAGTTTCCTGCAATCGCCGCAGGTGCAGAACTGCACGAGGTACATGCCGCTCCCCAGCTGGCCAGACGGCGGACGGACGGATCTCGAGCCGACGT